TTGTACCTCGTAGTTCTTGAAAAAAATTTGTACCCACTTAAACAAGTTTTGTACCCACTTATGAACATTTTGTACCTACTTAGGCACATTTTGTACCTCGTAGTTCTTGAAAAAATTTGTACTTATTAATGTTTTGTACCCACTTATGTATGTTTTGTATGTCATTGATCTTAAAAATATTTATACCCAGTTATTAAAGTTTTGTACCTACTTATGGACATTTTGTACCTACTTAAGCATGTTTTGTATCCCGTAGTTCTTAAAAAAAATTTGTACCCATTTAAACAAGTTTTGTACCCACTTATGCACATTTTGTACCTACTTAGGCACATTTTGTACCTCATTGATCTTGGAAAAAATTTGTACTTATTAATGTTTTATACCCACTTAGACACATTTTGTACCTCATTGATCTTGAAAAAAAATTGTACCCACATATTAAAGTTTTGTACCTACTTATGTATATTTTTTACCTACTTAGGCACATTTTGTACCTTATTGATCTGGGAAAAAATTTATACCCACATATTAAAATTTTGTACCTACTTATGCACATTTTGTACATACTTAGATATATTTTGTACCTCATTGCTCTGTAAAAAAATTTATACTTATTAATGTTTTGTACCCACTTAGGCACATTTTGTACCTCATAGACCTGGAAATTTTTTTTGTACTTCATAGACTTGGAAAAAAATTTAATTCAAATTATCATCCATACATGATTAATACGTACAACCACATTATCATCAATACAACCAAATCATCCATACGTACATAAACTTTAATTCAAATTATCATCCATACATGATTAATTCATACGACCACATTATCATCTATACATGATTAATCCATACAACCAAATCATCCATACGTACATAAACTTTAATTCAAATTATCAACATTCTTCAAAAACACATGCTTTGTTTTAGCCTACCGTTAATATTTTTTTGACCCTCCATTAACTTTCTCGACCACCATGTAGACGTCTAAAAATACCTATAGGTTCTCACACACGGCTCGAGACAGAGAGCAGAATTAGAGAATAGAGGCTTGAACTTTTGACTATTTTGAGCAAGAGAGAGTCTTCATCTTTTAAAAAACATTTTAAGAAGCTTTTGGTGATTCCTAGAGATCGAAGCTCAGATTTGATCTTTGAAAGAGTGAACATCTTACATCGATAAGATGTTCACTTAAGGTTCTTACTTCGATAAACGAAGAAGAACATCCAAAAACCTTCATGGTTCAATAAGAATCTTGTGAATCGGTGGTCAACGGGTTAACGCACCCCCGACACAGGCAAAGATCCCACAAAAACAGGAGTTGATAAACGATTCTTGTGTTATTTTCTAGAGAGTTGTAATTTTCTTATTTTGTTGTGTAATTCATTGTAAGCGATTGAAGTTTTAATGGATTCCATTTCAAAATCAACTTTCGACGAAAACACACCACCTGCAACATTTTTCATCTACAAAAAAAATTATAACTTTATCATGACAAATGCATCGATAGGAAAAAATATTAAAGCAAGATTAAATATAATACCTTAGCTAAAGGACAACTCGTTATATAATGTCATTTTCCCTTACAAAATCCACAAAATCTTTGTTTTTATACTCTTTTCTTCTGCTATCTCCATTCCGGACTTAATTCTAGTAGCTTGTACTAGTCGTCCCTTCGTGGCAATAGGCTTATCTGGATCACAAATAGTGATTTGAGTTGCTTCCTTTACAGAGATGGGTATGGATGAAGTAGGTATCTTATTGCTGGCATTACTCTTATTTTCATTGTCGTTATGTTCCTTTTCTTTCTTGTAAGTACCAACTTCTTCAAAAAATAAGTCTGTAGGCTGTCTAAAAATCACAACAGATAGTTAATCCTCATCAAACACCGATGATAGAAGTTACAATTTGACGACTTCCAGAATGTTATAATTTAAAGACTTTCACGTAGAAGGTTACAATCTGACGACCTTCACAACAACCAATGAAAGCTCTAAATCAACAACCTTCACAATCAACATCGGGAGTTATAATCTAATGACTCTCATATTTTCATAGAGCCAAGACGAAGGTTATAAGGTGACGATCTTTGTAATGCTCTAGCAAAAGAGACTACAAATTGATGGTCTCTTCATATCAAAATGCGGATATCTCTCAAACCGAAATGAATTTGGCAAAATGGAGGAAGCAAACCGAACCCTATGGGGTGGGTTTGGTTATTTTCGTCTCGTCGAGATAGCTAATTTTCATATATAATTCATCACATTCCGACTTACGGTTTGAAAGTTATGACCTGTTCTTCGCAGCAAGTTATGTTCTGAAGTCCGTCTATGAGACAACACTTCGCCTGAACATTGGACTTAGACTGAAGCTCGCCAAACCCACCTGAGGCTCACCTCTGCATCCAAGATTCAAAACGCAGAGGTCACACCCGCTTTCTAAACTCAAAACGCAGAGGTCGTGACCGCATTTGAGATTCAAAACGCAGAGATCGTGGCTGCATTCCAAACTCAAAACGTAGAGATCGTGGCTACATTCCAGAGTCAAAATGCAGAGTTCGTGGACTCAAAATACAGAGTTCATGCAGAGCCCAACCTTGCGTCCTAAGTCTAAAACGCAGAGTTCATGCAGAGCCTAACTTTGCGTTTCAGAGTTCATAACGCTGCACGACCTGTGCGTTTTCAGCCTAAAACAGGCCCAACTCTGTGTTTGATGTCTAAAACGTAAAGTTCGGGCCTAGAACGCCATTTTCGGTATTTGACTCGTTCAAACACGAACTGAACAGTTCCAAGAACTATTTTTTCTCCACGATTTGAGGGATTTTCACCCCACTTAGGAGCGGATTAAGGGGGCAATTACCACCCTTAATCCCCTATAAATACCAGAAACTCAATTGAGTTAAGGGATCGGCTTTTTACATCAAAAATAGATCGCAAAAGGAGAGATCGGCAACCTCTTGAGCAGATCATCTTTGGATCTTGGAGATTTCTTCGATCTGGAGATCAGAAAAGGGGGTTTTCGCTCAATCTCTGGAGCTTTCATCCTTGGCTTATTAACCTTTCGATTCAAATCAACTCTGTTACAGAGTTTAAACTCGCTCTGAGTTCTAAAACTTGTTAAGAGTTATTTTTAAACTTGCCATGCAAGTCATCCTCAATATCAATCAAGAGGAATCAACCACGTTCCAGTGAAACAAGACGTTCGGATCGTCAACGGAAAGCAAACTCGATGCGAACATTCGAGAGAGGCATTCCATCACCACCGTGAAGAACCCAGAATTAAATAAATGGGAGAATTCAGATCAATTCTCCTCTCTTTTATAATTGAAAATCCAAATTATAATTGAGATTGAGAGAATACAAATCAAATATATTTCTTTTAATTTTTCTTGTTACTACAAATTTTCCACCAAACAGAGTCTAAAAAAGCACTAAACTTATCATGAAGTGTACTTGAAGTTAATGTATCTTGTATCTTCTAGTACCTTGTTACATCTACTCCTAAGGGCCCAATGTTTAATGATAGAGAGTTGGTTTTTACTATTTGAAATGCAATTTCTAACAACTCTGCAACCAATATGTCTTGCTTTAATTGTCCATCGTTGGATAATATATCTTGATGGAATTTCTAATACTTGCTTCTTTACTAAAATGTGCAAGCTATGTTTGCATAATATACCTTCCACCTCAAATTTCACACAAGAGCATTAATTCTTTTATCTTTGGATGCGTTAAAAACAACATGATGCTTTACCCTATTCTTGCTTTTCAGGCTCGCTATCTATATTCCAAACGGTATAAGTAGCACTTGCGCCGTCCTTCGACAACCTTTCATGAAGCATAGAGTAACTATCCTTGAGTTTTTTCTAAAAGATAGTAAGCATATTCTTTGTATAATTCTCCCTAGCTTGTTTTTCAATGGGATGTTTAATTATAAATGTAGGAATAAAGTTTGTGGACTTAAAATCTTGCTCAAGTTCAGCGGCTCGACGAGCTCCAACACCATTATCATATTGTTTAACAAAATCATGTAACTCAGTATTTGCATTCACAAAACTATCAAAAAAGCATTAATTCCCTCACTCCGCTGAGTAGATGTTATTCCTGTAGTAAAAGTGTCTTTAAGATACACTGGAGCCCAATAATCTTGATGATTGTATAAATTTACTAACCAATTCCTTTTTGTCCCTCATTTATTCCCAACGCTTTACAACTTTTTTTTCTGATTTACTCCAATACCATTTGTTATACTTTATACCCACATCCTCACCATAATCATTATGCATTGATTGAAGATTTTTTAAGGCATTCCTATGAAGGTGCCAAGAACAAAAGCGATGACGAGTTTGAGGAAAAACTTTGTGAATTACACCACACATAGCTTTATCTTGATCAGTGATGATGGTTAATGGTGATATACCCGACATACATTTTAACCATTGGCTAAATAACCATATAAATGTCTCCTCCGTTTCATCGGGCAATAATGCACACCCAAATAGAGTAGATTGTCGATGATGGTTAACGCCCGTAAATGGTGCAAACAGCAATTTTAAATTGTTCGTTCTATATGTAACATCAAAACAAACAACATCTCCAAATTGCAAGTAAGAAGTCATCGACCTACCATCCATCCAAAAACACTTTTCATCATCCCATCATTTTCTAAATCAAGTGCAAAGTAAAATTGAGGATCAAATACAATTTTCTCTTGAAATTAACGAACTATGCTCACGCACTCATGGCTGACATTATTTTTTCGTTTAATTCTAAGTTGTGCTTGGTATTCTTGTTGAGTGAGAGAGCCTTGCTCATTTCCATGAGCAACATCTACAACCTTACAAATGGTAGAAAGCCGTAAACCTTGATTGTCATGAGTATCTATCAACCTTTTTGTCGATTGAGCTCGATGAAGTATCCGATGTGAGTAGTGCTTTTTTACCCGATTTGGGGTAGTTAATGGATGACCATTATAATTAATGTTTAAAATTCGGACCACCTATTTTTTAGTATTTCTATCGAGTCCAATAACCATCCTTGTGTTGCATCCACACCTTGTATCAAACTTTCGAATTACATTCCGACCTTCTTCTCTTTTATCTTTTAAAAACTTAAACCCTTCCTTGTCACATACAAATATTCTAGATATGATTGCATCTTTCTTTCTCGACCAAGTTGTGTGACCCTTGCGAACACCAAATCTCTTAAGTCTGGCATATGCATTGTAGAAATTATAAGCTTCCTCACGAGTAGAGAACTCCATTCCGATATATGGATCAACAACAAAATTACCTTCACCATTTTCAACGCCAATAAGCTCATCAACATTCTCCTCATGCTCGGATGCCTATAAAAATAGAGAAACAAAACTTATAAACCTCATTATAAAAGACAACTATTTTGGTATATGTCATTAGATAGTAGTACACTATAAACAATAAGATATTATCACCTGAGAGAAAAAACTTATCGTAGATAGTAAATCATGGTCCTCGATTTCAAGGTCAAGGGCTATACATTTGTTTTCATCTTCAACCATTATTGTATCACGTGAGAGAATTGTTGGAGTGTCCATACAAGCTATCAAATTATCATATATAAGAAGTTCAAAATCTATAGAAAATCGTCCTCAAGTTTATCTTTCAATTTCACTAAACAATTTCATTACGATAATTTAAACAAATTTTAAAGCTCATATCCAATTTAACAATAAACCTATCCCAAAATCTAAACTAAAAAAATGAAAATGTTCATAATTCATATCCCAAAATCAACAAGAATTACAAGTTAAAAACTTCAACAAACAAGTTAATTCATAACCTGAACTTGGCTGAAGACACACATAGATTAATATAAACCAACTTCAACTCACAAGTACACATGCATGAGATTAATACAATTCCGATGTTATATCTAACCCATTTTCTTTGGTGCAGATCTCACTAAATACAATGGAGAGTAGGGTAAGGCCAAGATGCTGGTGGAGCACTAAAGTTAAATGTTCTTGCAGTGCTTTGTGGTTTGCTTTGAACAATATATAGAAACCTTGGAATATCAAAATAATTAACAATGTAAACTTCAACTCACAAATAATTAACAATGTAAACTTTGTTGTATGCTTCAACAGCGACACTGAGCGAGTACGGATAGCTTCGCCTGAGCGGTGTGTTGTGGTGCTGAAGAGGAGGGGGTGTTTCGAGGGCTGAGTGGATGTCGAGGGCGCTGAGCACGTTAAGGCGCTGAAGAGGAGGGGGGGTATTAT